AGAGCAGAGACCTCCCCACCAGATCAGACACTCATAGCCTCTGTCAGGCTCTTTCTGCCCATTTCCACTGTCCCTGCAGGAAAGTCACAAGCGATTTCTCAACAGCAGCATCTTCTCCAAGCAGGTGCAGACGTCTCCTTTCCATGAGGACAGATTGCAGCAGCACCATCCTCATCTCGGACATCTCCAGCATCTTAGGGTGGGACCTTTACCTATTTTAAAAGCTGAAACAACTCACCCTGCAGAGATCACACGAGAACATTGCAGCACAGCCAGGTGCGCAGCCAGTAACCTGCCAACCCCCCGGTGCTATGTGTTAGCAGTTACAAAACAATTCTCGCTGTTGCTTGCGACGGGAACAACATGAACATCTTCGACCTTTCCAGATCAACACCTTCGTTCATTAGCACTGAGGGATCAGGCAGAACATCTGGCTTTACGGAATGTCTATCTTGAGCTGCTGGGTGCAACTGAGTCAATTGAGAAAGGCAGCCAAGAGAAGACTCCCAGGTGCTGAAAGGAAGAAAACAGTGTGAAGCAGAGATTCAGACTACAGCCCTTTCTGGCAGAGCTGTTTTCTCAGGCTGATCTTAGCGTGGATATAGCAAACGCTCTCTAGAATAACATAAATCTTTATTTTGTCTGACATTTGTCACACAGATGCTATCAAAAGAGCTTTCCCAGGGAAAATTAGTACAAAACAACAAATAATACAGGGGGGGAAAAATAGGAGCCGCACTGCTGTGGCGTTTTGTGGATGGGATCTGAAAGTGTCTTCGAAAAAAACAGGGTAGCATAGACCCTGTTGGAGACACTTGACAGAGGATGTTGGTTTCTCAGTTGGGGAATACCTTGTAGGTTCTTGGGTTGTCACATCTTCTCCCACCCCTGATCACAATCCTGCCCTGACAACACAGATCAAACTGGCCACAATTCCCAGGAACATCACAGCGTAGCTGATTTTTATGCTGTTGGCACCACTGAAATTGCACAAGGAGGTACTACAGCATTTGGTGGAATAAGCCGCCACACCGAAGTTCACGTTCGTCTCAGGACAGTCTGCAGAACATTTCTTGGTGATGCGGTGTCCCATGTCCTTGCCTGGGTGGAGAATAGATAAGAAAGGAGAGCTGTGATTTAAGATTCTTCTGCAAGAGCTGACTGGAGGATGATAGGAGGAGTTATATTGCACTATGCTTAATTTGCAGTGCAGCAGTAACAGCTATCAGCGGATTTGTTGAGTGCTGGGTGAGTAACCACACGACCTGGATCAAATACATGACTCTAGAAAGTCCTTGATAGAAATCCACACCATGCTTCCTGTAGGACAGCAAAAAAATCACTGCCAATGCACTTTCAGTTCCTAAAATCACATTATTTACATCCAAGCCCTTTCCATCCTCTATCACAAAGCAAGTATGTGACCCTCAAATCAAGCAACAGGGTCTGCTCGTGAAAACTTGTGTGCTCCAGCCAGCCCTGACACAAGGTGATGAGAAACACACCCCATGTGATGAATCACAGAACACCACTGAGGGTTTCACACACACTACGCGTTATGATCTGTAAACCTCAGTGATCAATTCTTTCCAACAAGACCAACTACTGCCCTAAAAAAGCTATTGCCCATCAGTTTCTCTGGAGGGAAAAAAAAATATATATCATTGAGGTGTTGCTGGTACTCACCAAACCCAGCAGAGCTGTATGTGGTGGTACAGTATTTCTCATGATCTTCACACTTGTAGGTTTTAAGACAGTTCCAGTTGGAGTGCTCGTTGTCACATGTGTAGCAAAACAGCGAGGAAGCTGGAAAGAGCGCACATGACACATATTAGTGGTTTCCAGCAATGCCCTCCTGGAAAGAAAGTGTCAAAAGCCATATCCCGTCTTGAAAATACAAGGGGAAAAGTATGTTACACATAAGTTTTCATGACAGGTGAGATAAGCAGTTGGTTGGATTAATGAAGCTGAAAAAAACCAAACAAACAGAACAAAACAAGTTTTCTTTCTTTGCTTGAGATTTTCAGTGATTAAACCTGAAAACATATCTTTTTCAGCCTGAGCAGCACTCTCAGGTAACTTTTCTTTCTCCTCCAGGTCTGCATTGGCCTGGTTGACAGCCAACCTGCAAAAGCAGAGCTCACAACCTGCCCGGCTCGGTCTAGAATTGTTCTGGCAAGGAGAAGATGAACTGGCACTGTTCT